GTTTCTTGGTTGGTTGCACGTCGCACGGAATCGTTATTTGGTTCGTTGCACGCTGCACAGGCGGCACGATGTCTGGGATACATTATTTGCAAATGCACTGAAGTTGTGCTATTTTAGTAATTATCCTGCGACATTAAACACACTATTGTATGGGCTTCCTACGTCCGCCAACAATCAATGAACGTCCTGAGACGGCGATCGCCGCGTCTTTCAATCGATTTCATTGCTAAGGTGTGCCACTTTGGCATACAGACGATGAGTTATGCACTCTATCTTTAGAGCCCTGCCCTACTAATAACTCATATGTCATACGGATGTGCTGCTATTGGGCAAACTGGCACTTGCAGTAACCGATGTTGAAAACTTTTGTTCTTACGATGAGGTAATACATTAGGCGTGCCGGTTTCTGCGGCTATAATTTGACTTGTTTAAGGTGTAACTTAAGCTTGCAATGAGTTTGTATACATTAATTTGCCCTCCTGAAGTCGCGTTCGTCAAGTGAAAAAGGTTCTAACCTTCAGATTGCCTGCCTCATCTGGCTACCCATGCTGGATGGGTTCATTGCTGAAGTCTTGAGGCTATGCGTTTTGTATCATCTGAGCCGAAGGTTTCAAATCGGTTTGTCGAGTAAACAGGAGTTCTCTGCTGGTAGGCAGGTAAGTTGTGCCTTTATACGGAAGGGAGGGAAGTTGTGCAGAATTGGAAACTCAACGTTACTTGAATCCGTTTTTTTCTATACACCTCCTGCTAAATATTGGCAAAGGGTGGGGGGACTCGAGCCCCCAAAGCCTCCTTTCGATACGCGATGGATCCTGCGTTTCTGCCTTTCTATGTCGGTGTGTAAGTGCCCGAGCGGTGGAAACCTCGCGGTTAATCAGTGCCTACACTTGGTGCACTTTGGTGTCCTCTGTTTTACTGGCATCGAAATTTTAAAGATGCCCTACCGAATCTGAGTCTAACGGGCTAAACAGCCCCGGCCAAAGCCCTTCATAGTGACGCAACGTTCAGACCCGGTACAGAGCTGCCAGAATGGAACGCCCCCCCCCCCCCCCCTATGGTTGGAGGTGGCATTGGGAACGTTTTCGGTTTAGCAAAATGATGCTCCTGTGGATTGCTATGACTCGAGATGGGGGGTGCTAGGCCCCTCTCGTTATGTTTTTCACGTTCCTCGCGGCTTTTAACATTAACCACAGGGGAGCGCTAACCCCACCCCATTCTCAATCTCTACAGTGGCTTCGCAGACACTGATGTGCTATACAGATTTTCCGTGATCAGGCTCAGTTTTCCAGTGTTCACAGATGAACATTGAAATACACTTTGATGAGTGGTGTGGCTGGCTGCGGCATTGCTTCTCGTGAGACCTGCTGCTGCGCTGCGCCTCATGGATTCGGTGACTGCGCTGGCTCCAGCGAGGGCAGGGAAGGAGCTGGCTGCGTTGGGACCGGCCGATGCAACGATACTGGCATCGTCAGGGTTCGACCACGGTCGAAGGAGCTGGCTGCGCTGTGACCGGCCGATGCAACGATACTGGCATCATCAGGGTTCGACCACGGTCACCTGGCTTGTTCGAGCTCCGGCTGAGACTCCGCTGTGGTCCTGAACTAGGCTGCCAGAACACATACAGTAATCAATAAAATGAGGCTCGTGTGCCACAGAATGTGGCACGTTATCCACACGGCGACGGCATCTTGTACCACAAAAACATATTGCCAAGACCATAGTGCTTATGATTGTCATTGCACTGCGTCCGCGGTGCACGTCATACTGCTTTACGATCGCTTGCAATAACGTCGTCATTCGATGAGATCTTTGGCAGATCATCCTTCAAAGTTCATATACAGCTTGGTCCCGAATAGCTCTAATTTGCGTCCAAATCATGTTCAGTCATCAAATATTTGTGTCTCGGTCTCCTCTTCAGGTTCGACTGCAATCCGGGATGTGATTTTTGAAAATAAATCACTGTGCCTTTTTGCCAGAATCATTGTTTTATTATCATGCACTTAGTTGCACCATCTTGAAATTTGAAATGTTACAAAAGTGAGGCGTTGCTCGAACCCGTGCATCACTGGAAAATAGCGCAGCGCGTAACATTTTCAACTAATTCGAAGCATTCCTCGTCAAGATTTCAGCACTGTTGTATCCTGTGTCCGCACAAGCCGATGTTCTCAAATTTGCCCAGCCAGCCATCATTTGCTTTTCTGATTTCTTGTGTATAAAACGCACACTTTCATTAGCCAAAATCAATGCCTACTTTGGTGATATCGTAAATTTCACCCTCAAAGCAAACCCATGATATTTACACGCGTGGCTTTGGTATGGTTAGGTCACCCATGCCTCCTTTGCGGAGGATTTTCTGGACATATCATTTTTTGATCTAGTGGTATCTGATATCTACCAGTGCTTGCGTGTTTGCTTCGCGAGGCGGCAGAGCTGGATCCTTAAAAACGCATGGAAAGACTTAACATCAGTTCTCGATGCATTTTACACCATTCGTACGATTGCTTGGCCGATCCGTCCTCCGGCCGACAGGATACCCGGCGGGAACTGACTCTATGTGCTCTGCTGTGCTGTACTGTGTGCCGAACTGCATTGGCTGCCAGGGACGTACCTGGGTCATGTGGAAAATGCTTCTTATGCTGGTCAGTTTTTGTCAAGCAACATGCGGCAAATCGCTAACAACTGTGACGGACATCGGTCGGCGACCGCTTGCCCCCCACTCTGTCTGCACATGCATGTGCATACTGGCAGGCGGCTGTTGCAAAGGCCTGAAAAACTCCACTGCATCTGTTTTAGAACCAGTCGAAGCCCACAGTGGATTTGTTCATTGCTAGAACCTGATATAAACGCTGTCACAGTGCTTACCGATTTCGCGTCATATATTCACGCGCCGAGGTTGATGAGTTACACTAAAGCAGCAAACAGATGGTGCAGAATCATCCTTTGAAACACTTTTCTGAAACAAGTGCCCGATCTCCTTACTTAAACAAAATCAGCAATTGTCAAGCTCTCAAATGCTCCACTCCTAATTGCTACTGCAGCTGGTGTGATGTTACGCCTTTCAAAGCTTTGCAAAAACCGTACTTGCTGCTCTCCAGACCCCAGATCTTCCTAAATTCACCGCTGTCACTTGTCAACGCTGCTGTATTTTTTTTAGTCGAAACACTGCAGTGGTTCCAAACCCAATCCCACAAAACACTAGGTATGCTCTTTTGACGTTATATAACAGCTGCATTTCATGTGCCCTTTCACTGCGTCCTTTCTAAATTATTGTTCGCTCAACATGCGTGGTTTTCTAAGTTTTCTAAAATCAAGAGGTTAAAGTAAAGCGTTAGATCGTCACTGTGGTTGACCTTTTTCGCTGCAACAAATGAATGAACTTAAGACGTATGGCGGCTGCTGGACGACGGCAACATAACGCCGGCATTTCGTTTTGTTGGACCCGGAATGCCCGCCGGCGACAGCGACCGGTAGCATTTTGACAGCGCAAAAATGCCGAATTCCGATCCTTAAGGTCAAGTTGATGTTTGAACGGGACGGTACACAAAATGACGGATAAATGTACGGTAAACACAGGCGACGAATCAGTGCCTGCGGTTATATGAAGTTTGTCACGACCTATGTTACGGTTTCGACGGCAGCGTATTGTATTTAGCACCATTTTCGAAACGCCGACCTGTCCGCTTTACTCGACGACTACTGTTGCACCCGTACGTGGTAAAAACTCGTCTTGACCATATGAAATGCAGACGGTATGTTCATCGACGCTCTTAAATTGAACTCGTGCCTCCACTCGCTTTGGCTGCCGAGCGATAAAATAAGACATGATAAACATAAGGCAGGGCGAATGCACCCTGACCGTTTCTCCTCACGTGGCACTTGGACGTGCACGACGACCGCATCTCTGGCACCATGTGATTCCCCTTTCGATGGTCTACCGAGTTGTGCCAATTTTGTGTCGCCGTTCGCACCGAAATGTGGTCGTGGCTTTGAACGGCTGCTCGTCGGGTTTGTCACCGGTTACTTTTTAGGCCGCCCGTGCTCTCCCAATGGGTCCGAAACGACCCTTACGGCGCGTGTTACAGCGACTCCCGGACCGCAGCGGATCGCAAGCTACCTGTGGAAGGCCGCCTCCTGCGACCGAGCGTCGTGTCCAAACTTCCCCATTCAGAAACCCATAGCTTGGCCTGGACAGGACACAACGCCAAATGGAACAGACGGCTAGACAGACAGACGGGCAGACCAGACAGACGGCTAGACAGACAGACGGGCAGACTAGACAGGCGGACAGACCAGACAGGCGGACAGACAGACTGGACAGACGGCTAGACAGACAGACGGCTAGACAGACAGACGGCTAGACAGACAGACGGGCAGACTAGACAGGCGGACAGACAGACTGGACAGACGACTAGACAGACAGACGGGCAGACCAGACAGGCGGACAGACAGACTGGGCAGACGGCTAGACAGACAGACGGGCAGACCAGACAGGCGGACAGACAGACTGGACAGACGGCTAGACAGACAGACGGGCAGACCAGACAGGCGGACAGGCAGACTGGACAGACGGCTAGACAGACAGACGGGCAGACCAGACAGGCGGACAGACAGACTGGACAGACGACTAGACAGACAGACGGGCAGACCAGACAGGCGGACAGACAGACTGGACAGACGGCTAGACAGACAGAAGGGCAGACCAGACAGACGACTAGACAGACAGACGGGCAGACCAGACAGGCGGACAGACAGACTGGACAGACGGCTAGACAGACAGACGGGCAGACCAGACAGGCGGACAGACAGACTGGACAGGCAGGCATACCCTGAGGATTTTTTTTAGATGGTTACCAGACTCCAACGCCAAATGGAACAGACGGCTAGACAGACAGACGGGCAGACCAGACAGGCGGACAGACAGACTGGACAGCCAGGCATACCCTGAGGATTTTTTTTTAGATGGTTACCAGACTCCAACGTTGTTCTTTCCTTTATTTCAGGTTTACCAGACGCTAAGACAGACACCGCGTGGACGGTTCCGGGGTTCGACTACATTAATCCATCAAAATGAGTATTAAGGATGGCAAGTCCGCTCCGCAACCGACGGTAAGTTAAACAAGATGGCCACCATTTTTAGACCATTTTGAACAAACATATGAACATATGTTAGAACACAGCATATGCACGTATTGAGTACTGATACAGTCTATACTCCATTTCATATCGACTAAGTGAGGTGGTAACCTATCTTTAACAGCACATATTTTGTATGCCTGCGCGTTTCGTTTCGTTACCTTACTTGTTCTTATCAATCGCATAAGCAACGCACTTCTTGGAGGTAATATTAAGCATGTAGCCGTGTTGCTAGAGGATAAAGCTGCGTGGAAACAGTCTTAACGCAGGTATTCTCAACGCACCGGTGACCTATTAGCCAAGATCGCTCTTGCCACTTCTGGCAAAGGCAGCAAATAAGCTGGTGGCGGATTAGTTGATCACATGCCGCACAAGAAGCCATCTTCTCTCTCCAGCGCAACACGGCTTTCGCCGTTTTTTTCCGACGGACGTTTTTTTGGCCCTGCTTCATATTGCTGGCACAACCTTTACTACAATGCATGCTGATCACGTGACGTTTCCATGCCTGTCGTATTTAGCAAAGACCTTCAACTGTGTCAACCACTTCCGGCTTCAGAACCGTGCCAAAAGCTCCGGAGTGTCATCCCCGTGAGTCGACGTTTATATAGCTCCCATTCTGAGAGGCGGGGATCGACACAATCCTTTCTTCGCTGACAGTTTCCTGAGAATATCTATTGAATATGTCGAGTTACTGCGCCCTAAGTTTAGGTAGCCTTTATGCCACTCATTGCGCGTGTTTCGACACCAAACACCGTTACATTCACAGAACTTACATCGCAACTTGCGCTAAAAAAGCACGTTGCTGCGTGTCGGTGTGCTCAGAGTTAAACATAGCTCATGCCCGGGCGAGTTTAATGTTGCTATGTAGGAGGGTTTTGTCCATATTGACATGTTTAACTGGAATAGTTTGTCATGAAAAACCGCCCTTTGATCTGGCATGGTGATGTTGATTGTTGCTCTAACATCCAAAAATGTGTTACCAAGCACGAGATGTCGTGAGCAACCCATTGTTGTTTCTTTTCCGCGAGGCTCTATCTTTTTTGGTTTAGAAACGGTAGGGAGATTGCGCGTCGCTCCCTTTCTTATTAATCCGCGTTATGAGAAAGGGAAAATCAGGGCGAGGGTGTAAGAACTTTCTGGAGCCAATCCGTGGTCGTACGATGTCTGCAACCACCAGCGGATGGAGCTGCGCACATTCAAAGGTCGTGCCTCGGCCCACTTCTCTTCTGGACCTGGACCTCTGGACCACTTCTCATCTGGACCGTAGTACAGTGCGGTACGCCGAGAACTGCCAGCTCTTCGTAACCGGCAATCCTGCTGATATGAACACTTCATTGTGCATATGGAGCAAGAGCTGAATACCTCCAGCCTTTGGGTTAGATGCAAACGGTCCGAAAATCGGACCTAGATAATGATCATTGGCACAAGGCCTCCTCTAAGGATATCAATATTTGCCCTGAACGTTGATGGCAAGTCGGTAAAGTCTGGTCAAAAGGAAGAAGATTAGTGTAGTTTTTAGCACTACTTATTGTGCTTCAAACAAATAGACGAGGTTAAAAGAACATAGACGGGGATTCTTACAGTTTGTGCCACCAATGTCATCTTGTGCGAGATGATGCAGTTAGTTGTTCGCGTAGTAACATCACTTGTTTTATCCCACATAACGCACTTTTGAGCGTAATATTTGCAAAGAGAAAGAGTAACAAAAGAAGGTTGGAAGCTATTGCAAATTCTGCTACACTAGTTATCACTAATCTACACGAAGACGATCATGTATCACAAGCTTAAGCTGTTATACACTTAAGTGCGTAATGCAGCAAGAACAGAAGTCCCCGTGAGTTTCGCCGCCTCTCCTCGAAAAGTGATATCATCTATGGATGAAAGTATGTGGGAAAACGATTGGCTGTAAATGTCACTTGCTGGGTCCGAAAATCACAACTAGATTTGACCTTGAGACGTCAAGAGGTGAAACTCGGTCTCTCCGTATGTGAAAGATTCATCGTCCTTGGCAATTTTCAACACCAAGGCAAAGGGCATGGTCAGTAAGAAACGAGAGCCTTATTATTTCGATAATAATGTTCGATATGTACGCTATTGATGGTGTTATACACTTGAGCATGAGCTATTCATATGATGACACATGCTCCTAGTAAAGCGTCCTTCCCAGTGTAACCTTTCTTACTAAAAAAGGGTAATTGATCAGTTGAACTGATCAGATGTGCCTGTACTGTGGTCCACTAATGCTACACACAAACCTGGATAATGTTCCAGCCGAAGCCACCGGAGGAGCCGAAGCCGTTGCACGTCCGGCTTCTCAAGTTCCTCTTCGGCCACGTTGGGATGTTCCTCCTGGTGGGCACTGTGGCGGCGGTCGGTAAGCTCACACTTCCCTTCTTCTCGCTTTGACTTCACTCCTTCGATGAGACAATCACAGCGTACAGCAGCGCGCCGATACAGGCCATCACGTGACGCTCGCGTGGCGTTCACAAGACAGTCCTCGCGTATAGCATAGGTGTCACGCAAGGCAAAGTTGTGACGTGCAAGTCACATTTTTGTACAGCGATACAAAGCGGTAAGCTACAAAGCTATAGAGCGATGCAACAATACAGCGGCATTCATCGATATGAGATATTAACGAAAGCTTCAGCCCAAGCGTAACAGCATGTTAGTCATATGGAGGCCTAATGTTCGCCCCATGGCAGCTTCATAGGTGTATCATGTCAGCCTCAAAGACGTGCCGTGGCGGTCAAATGTGTGTCACATTCTAATCACTCATAACGCACACCAAAGCCACATCTGGCAGCTCATTTATCTGAAGGCAATGGCCATGTGATGGTTCTCTTGAGGGCCCAGAACAGTCATATACCACTAAGTATCAATAAGATGGCAGTCATATGGCAATTGCACGACGTGCAAATGGTGGCTGCGTGACAGTCACATGGCGTCGACATTTCATTCCCATCGGGGTTGAAGATAAGTCGCATAGCTATCGCATGGTAGTTCCATGCCAATCACAGAAACGTTGCATGAGGACTTGATGTCACGGTGATATTGTTGGCCAGTGTCACAGTGATGTGGCTGTCCAGCGTCACAATCACGAGGCCTTGGTTTGAATCTTGGTCACAGTCACGAGACCTCTGAAAAGAGACTCGTGATGAGGTATTTCGGAGAGAACCAAGAGCTAGCTACTTTGGACCAAAGACTGAGGTTTGTTTTCTACGCCGTTACCCAAGAACAGGTAACCAGAAGTGCCCCTCCCTCAATCCCAGCGACGCAGTAAACCGTACGTTAACACCAGAAAACAAAATCAAGTCGCGGCACTCCCAGCTAGGAAGATAAAACAAACGCAAAAAAGCAGGCGAAGAGGTGGAGCAGACCCGAAGGAAATGCGTTATGTGATAGGTAGGGAAAAATCATAGATGAGAAGGCTTAAAGTAGTCATTAGCCAAAGTCAGCTCATGACTGCCCGCTATAACCGTCCAATAATCTACAACCACTCAATTCACCGTGTTAGTAAGGGCTATACGGTCACAAAAGTCGGAGGGGGCAATTACCTGGTCATTTTTGTGCTGGGTTTTGAGCTGGATGTCCAGGGAGTCCACCCAGCTAAGCAAAGCTTGTTGCTGGGAGAATTCCCGGAGCCAGCGCCGTGAATGTGGGTATATGTGCATGACTTAATATCATAAATTTATTATGAAACAGGAAGGAGGTTTAATATGAAGTGCGTTGGATATGTACAGCACAAATGCTGGCAATGTCTTCAAATATGTTGGTTACGTTAATATGTATTCACGAAATGCTTCCGGATGATGTTCTTAACGATGTTTTTTTATACAGAGATATCAGCTATTCTTGGAAAATATGAAACCATAATGTCGTTCCACAGCTTGGGGCTAAGGCAAGATGCTGTAAATAGTCTCTAATTACGATTAGAGAAAGGTTGGTCTAAATGTTTTGCTCGCCTCATATCCATGCCATTGGATTCGTAGAGATTGTAAATTAAATGGAATGGTGCAGGGAGCTGTGAAGTTAAAAATTTGTGCATCCCAATTAACATTTGGAATTTAGCAATATCCGAGAGCTTCAAAATTTTGTATCGTTTAAAGATCGGCTCTGAGCTTTGTGGAGGATACACATATTCTATAAGACGCACATTCTAACCGATCTAGTTGAGAAGCATAATTTATACCCCAAATCAAGCAGCAGCAATTTAAATAAGGAAGAATCAAAGTGTTATAGAGTAGATGTGACGTTGTTTTATCAATAAAGTACCTAACCCTTCTTATTATTCCAATATTTCTACTTACTACGCTTGCAACATAATTAGTGTGGCTTGTAAATTTAAGGGATTTTTCAATCATTACACCAAGGTATATAATTTCTTTTTTCTCTTCAATAGGTGAATTATGAATGCGCACATTTCGTTGAAAATGCGAAGAAAGGGTTGTGTAATGCTGTGTGAATGTTTTTGATAGTTCAGGGAAAGAAAATTAGCAGCAAACCAAGAAGTCATTAGAAGCAGAAGCGTATTGACATTGTTTTGAAGTTCAACAATACTTCTATTTTTGAAAGCAATCGCAGTATTATCAGCGTAAGACAGACAAATCATGTTACTGCTTAATTTTGGTAGGTCATTTATGTACATTAAAAAGAGAATTGGGCCGAGAATGGATCCTTGGGGTACCCCCATTGTTACGTTTTTGATTGTTGATAGATAATTCCTGATTTTTACACATTGAGTTCTGCCAGACAAATGTGAAGAAATGATTTCATGAGATTCTCGTCGAATACCATATTTAGTAAGTTTACGTAGAAGAAGGTTTATGTTTACAGTGTCAAAGGCTTTTTTCAAATCTAAACACAAACCTAGCACGCATTCCCCGTTTTCAAAAGCCTTAGTGATAGTTTCCTGCAGAAGAAGAGTTGGCATGTGAGTACTCTTGTTCTTCTGAAATCTGAACTGATTTTGGTGAATTAGGTGGTTTTGGTTTAGATGAAGGACGAGTCTATTATATATAAGTTTTTCGAGAATTTTGGACATAAACGGCAAAATACTGATAGGTCTGTAGTTATTTACAAGTTGCTAGTCCCCACTTTTAAAGATGGGTTTAATCACGGCTTTTTTGAAAATGCCTGGAAATATCCCCGAGGACAAACAGCTGTTGAAAAGATGGAGAATTACTTTGAGTATAACCTTACAAGATAACTTGAAAATTTTTGAATTAATTTTGTCGACTCCAGCTCCGACGTTGTTAAGCCCATCGATGAGAAGAATCAATTCCTGTTCATTAGTGTGTGTGTGGGGGGGGGGGCAGATCCATTTCATTTTCTACATTTGTGATGAGTTGGAGGGGGTCGAATGATGATTTAGGAATCTTGTCTTTTAACTGTTGTCCGATCTCACTGAAGAAGCGGTTAAATGATTCTGAGATGTCCGGATCGTCTGTGATAATTTTATCATTAGTCCCAACAATCCAGGTTGGATCTGCATCCTTTTTTTGTTTTGAATTGATGAGAGTGTGCAATGTTTTCCATGTTTCCTTGGAGTTCCCAGCATGTTAAATGAATTCATTGCTGTAGTATTTCTTTTTGGCTAGCCCAAGAGATGTAGTAAGAATGTTACGGTAGGAAGTGTATGCTGCATTATTTTGGGGACTGGGATTCTTCAATTTCTGTTCAAATAGCTTGCTTTTATGAGTAATTGGTAGAAGAAGTGCAGGTGACACCCATGGTTTGCGTGAGCTAGTTTTTCGAGAAATGTGCCTTGTGTAAGAAAACCTGGTGATCCCGGCATTGTAAATATACACAATTTAATTTGCAATAGCATCAGGTTCTGGCTCATTTTTAATATCAACAAGATGATCAACAAGGAATTGTTTAAATTCTACCAGCCTTCTGTAATCAAACGTGGTAATAGGTGTTCGAACATCAGGGGAGTGTGGGTGTGAGGCATAGTTCATGGAAGCAAAAATTGGGAAATGATCAGACAAATCATGAAGGAGAATGCCTGTATGCATCACTTTTGATAAGATGTTGCAAAATATGTTACTTAGAAGAGTACATGATGGATAGCAAGATCAGGTCTATAGACCAAAGTTTGGACGGAAGTCCCCAAAAGTTGAGTTGACACCATTTATTTGTCATCCGGGTGATTTGTGAATAGAGGTGCAGCCGTACCTGTTCTTCCTTGGTGGTGATACTCTTCTGGCCCGAGTTCGTCCTAGTGACTTTTGGAGGCTCGGATTCAATTGTATCGGTTCACGTGACGTACGAATTAGCCACAGAATAGTATTAACCGATGCATAGTTGTTCCATCGAATGACTAAAAAGGAACGTAGTTAGTATTATCTAGCGGTACCCAAACGCAGCAGGCTACATAAAGTCGACACATACAACATAGCCCAACACAAATAGTTTCAAATAAGGTAAGCTCTCAGGCAGCTTTTTAAGTTTTAATTGTAGAAATTATTCAAAGCCTAGATTAAAACTTTTCAAGTTAAGGGTGGGAAGTCAACTAGAACCGCTTTTGAACCAGGGTTGGAGTAAACAAAATTATCGCAAAAGATCGCACGGGAGTGAAAAATTCAATTCACAGAAGCTGGAACTTGGGGCAATGTGGCATGTTCCAGCACACAAGAACCCACATTTCACGTTGCCGTGGACGTAATATCATAAACATGACAAATCTGTTCTTGTGTTTAGCGTTTTAGGTCGTTGCAGAGGAACTCAATGTTTTGATGCTGCACCTTGTTCTTGCCTTCCACTGGTTTATTTTAACACAAAACAAAGCAAATAACTCAAACAACAAATACTCAACAAGCCTAAAGCATTCAAACCAAAAAGTATTGCACTTCTGCACATCAACGCATCACCATATCAAACACAACAGACATACCTCTGGCTTCTGTCAAGATGGGGTCAGAAAGCACAAATATTATGCCACTGTTTCTTACAAAATAACACTGCTTATTTCCATGACGGTAGCCAAACTAGGCCTAACCTAAAGCAGCCTTGCCTTACTTCATCCTGTCTAACCTATTTGCATCACAGCAGGATATGTGTCACTGATTATTGTAAAATTCCCACTGCTTCTCACCATGTAATTAAGCAACCTAGCCTAGCCTAGAGAAGCCCATATTTTGAACACCATCTCAGCTCACCTCACCTATATCTCAACAGCAGCAGTTGTGTTTAAACTTGTGTTTTAGTTCAATTCATTTGTGTACGCTTGTTAACACCAACAAAGGTGGCAACACACAAATCAAAACCTCTCAAATCGCCTTGAACAGCTTATTCTGATTGTCATGGTTAGCCTCTGTCAAGGGCAATGTGAGTATGCTCCACAACACTATCTCCCTTTCCCAATTACAACATAACTTATACATGGCCACAAAACTAGTTTTGCCGCCTGCTTTTTCAGCTGTAGCAAAGGCGTCCGTTTAGATCTGGTTATTCATATTTAATGACACCAAGTTTAGGACGTTGGCTTAACATTTTAAATGGGATAGTCTGACTACTTCCTAAAATCTACCTGATATTATAATTGGTATACAGCTTAAAGCATTTTCGTGTTAAAAATATAGTGCATGTCTACATTACAGTCACTTGCCAGCCAGCAAGCCATGTCAACCATGGACCACATCTTGTGAAAGCAGACGCGAGGGACCACTTCAACAAATTTGAGGCAGGTTAACAGGAGTATGAAACAAAATAACTTAATGGCATGCCTTATGGCATCATAGTTTGCCTTATGAACAAAACGCGATGGATTAAAACAGAAACTGGATAAATGCAGTTACAAATCATATGTTCAAAGCAGGCAAGGTTAGCAATTAGTTGCTCCACAAGAGAAACTTACTGGCATCTTAAGGGCAGGCTTCTTTCTGCTCCCACACAGCAAAGGTTGGTATCTTTCACATGGCCTGATGACAGACAGGATCATCCAACCCACCCACGAAATACGGATATCAATCATGCTAACCAGCCTACAAGATTCAAAAGTGAGATAAGTAAGAGGAGGTCCGCATGATAAAACAGTTCCGAAGGGCAGAATTCCACTACCAAACACTCCTGTATTACCTGCGTCTGATCTGTGCCAAAGCCATGTACGGCAGGATAATGTAGCATGGTGAGGTGGTGAAACTCGAATAGCTAGGATTTATCATTACTGAGCCCCGCTACGAAGCAAAAAATAGCTATCTGAGGGTTCAATAGAGCAAAAATGGCTGTAACAATCAGTTTCGTGCTTCAAATTGTCTCTTTCATTCCCTACAAATTGTTCACTTCTGGATGCATATCAGACATGTCTGGGCACCCGGCGAACTAATCCAATTTATATAAGTTTCGTGGAGCCTTGTCTACGGTTCATGGTGCGAAGTAAGTTGGGATTTGGATAACATCTTAACACCTGGGAAAGGGAAAGATAGGTTTGGTATTTGTGGTTAGACAATATTAGGTAGGAGTGAAAAATTCACACAAAATATGGGGACAAGGAGCGAAAAATTTATCCCCAAAGGGTGCTGCTTTACACCCAAAGTTGGCAAACCTAGGACACCGCTATTGTGTTGTTACAAAACTGAACATCACAGCTGCGTAACCTGGGGTCGCATGGGGTTTGAGGGCTAAAAGTCCTCTGCCTGCCAACATGGCAAGTAACGGCTTCGACTACGCGCGTTACGAGCATCGTACAACGTGGAATCCGATTTTTTCTTGCACCTGACAAGATCACACTTTTGATGACAATTGAGACCAAAACGCAGCCAACGGCAAAACTTCAACCCGCGACCTTCCATGCAGAGGTTTGACCTCTCGCCTTTGAGTATGGAAGCCGCTTCATGTGTTGCAGGGGCGTGGGCGTTTGTATGCATCGAGAGGGATTCCGAGGAGCAGCGATTCCAAGTGAAGAGGACTAAGGCCAAGGACATGGGAGACGCCATGAACTACTTGACCTCCTACTGGTGGCACCTGGCTGCAGAGCCAAACCTCACCTACAGCAAGTGGGAAAGAAAGGTGAGACTGCGTCATGTCCAGAGTGTAGCAATTACTTCCTTCGAGTTCAGGTCGTTGTTTGTTTCCAACGGGTAGTTGTGTTCTTCGTTTTCTTCTTTCTTTATAGCTATAGTCTGTAACATCCCCACAGATCACACATGGCTCCACCACAGATCAAAGAGCACTTGGGAACCATGGAGGAATTCATCATCGACGCGGTTGAAACCTACAACTACGACGGCACGGTGGACGGCTGGACGTACGACTGGACCTTCTCGAAGGCGTTGCTTTTCACCATCACCATCATGACCACCATTGGCTACGGACACATTGCACCGAAAACTAGCAAAGGCCAGATGTTCACCGTCAGCTACGCTATGATCGGCACGCCACTGCTCCTCGTCTTCCTGGCCAACATCGGAGACGGCATGGCCAGCGTGTTCACCTACACTTACAGGTCGGTGGTGGATGCCAGGCTGGAGTGAGGTGTGTCTGGTCTTCTCACTGTTATGCTCAAGCAATACTATCATTTGCGCATGATATCATGAGACTTGTGCATCAATAGGATACAAGAGTTCATTTGTCACTATTTTATTGAGCCAGTAATGCCTTTATTCGTGAGACAGTCTGAAAGGAGACAAGATCGGCGTTCCTTCTCCCCTTTTTTTCGCATGGTGAAGGGCTCTTAATACCCCCCGAGGCTAGCTACCCGACCCTTCTGACCTACAACCTGGACCCCCAGCCGCCTGTGCTGCCGATGGTGTCGCAGCACGCGCTATCAGTCTGAAAGGGTCGCCGGAAAGAAAACCAAAAGATTGAGCGATGACACGGTGGGCAAGGAGCCTTACATGCCAACTGACGAGGTTCGTTTGCTGCTCATTCTGCTTAATTGCTAACTTCTGCTGCACCTGTTGTTAGCCATGCACACTGCGGGACCATGACCGAGCACTCGTGACATATGACTGTCAGTATTTCTTGTATCTTTCTGGCTAAACGACAGCGCAATTCAGTTTCCTTTTGAAACCCATCGCCGGACGCCATATCATCCACCACGTCATGAGTTTTCGCCAGGGCATGCATCCGTCTACGCATCGCTTAGCCATTATGCTGCAGTGCAATGCACATGATAGAGCGACGTTAACCTACATCCGCTTCAGGAAAAGCCGGAGTTTCCGCATGTTGGGTGGTCACGTGACTGAGCTTTAAAGCGTCTCATGCGAGGCCAACTGACCGCAGTATGCATACCGTTGCCCCATCTGTTCGTCGCTCCATACATGACGCCTATCTATTTTTTGCCTCGGTTTACATATACGGTTAAAGAAGACGAAAAGGAGCTCTGGCTCTAGGTCAATAACAAGGCCGAATGTTTTCTTGATTGTTGTGCAACGAACGGCAACCCGTCGTCTTAATTTGTGCAGTCTGACCTCCAAACCTTCCGGCTGTTCTCCACCAGGTGCAAGTCCCGATTGTGATCACTCTGGTGCTCATCTTCGCCTACTTGGCTGTCGGCGCTCTCATCTTCACCAATTGGGAGGGCTGGGAATTTACTTCCGCCTACTACTTCAGCTTCGTGACCCTCTCGACCATCGGCTTCGGCGACATGGTGCCGGGTAACAGGTGAGATCTGTTGACGGTCGACCAGGCAGTAAAAATGCCTTTGATATAGATAAGACAGTGGCAATAGCCCTATTCCTGAGAGAAAACCCAGCAGAATGGAGATATAGATGGTTTTGCCCACGTGACGCCTCTCTCTCTCTCTCTCTCTCTCTCTCTCTCTCTCTCTCTCTCTCTCTCTCTCTCTCTCTCTCTCTCTCTCTCTCTCTCTCTCTCTCTCTCTCTCTCTCTCTCTCTCTCTCTCTCTCTCTCTCTTCTTATAGATAGGTTTACCAACATGACGCTTTTCTGTCTTGACATTTTGCAATGGCAGCTGGATTTAGACCTAGCCTATCTATAAAGTCATTCTCCTGGTTTTTCTCCCAGGAATAAGGCTATTACTACTGTCTTATCTATGTGAATAACGTTCCTCGCCAATGCACTGAACAACTGTCGTTGATATGACCAAAACAAAGACGACCACTGCTGGTCACGGAGCGTCGTCTTAGAAACTATGGCATGAAGGTAACCAGATTGCCGCGACTTAAACACCATCCACAAGGTGCCTTTCCGAAGGGGCCGAGTTGCAGAATATAACGTCAGCCAATGGCAGCTGGACTAAGACTTATGTGAAACGATTCTGACACAGTGAAGTGGATTACCGGAAGTCTTACAATGTGAGATGCTTGGAGCGACCCGTACGTATGTTGAGGCTGAAGAGAATTTCCGGAAAAACTCTTCAAAGTTCCAGCAGCATACTGTTTGCTAAAAATATGGACTTGGGGAAACCACTTTTCTGAAGCTCACGAGATTTGATGAAGGTGCTGTGGCCCGATCATGCATCGTCGCTTAGACGGGCAGCGCTTGAACTCATCAGGCTCTAAATATATCTGAAATCATTTGGTTTGTCTTATAAAAGCAACGGCCTTGACTTGTTTCGAATATTCCGAACCACGTACATAGGAGGCCAAAGTTGGGCCAATCCAATAAAAAAGGCCAGTTCATTAAATGGAGTGTCCCACCCTGAGGTCATGTTTCAGTAATACAATCCGGTAACACCTCAGGAGCATTAAGTCTAATAATTGCATCGGGCAGTGACACAGAGAGACAAACAATGTATGGTAGGAATATAATTTTAAGTATTTTCGAGAACAAATTACATTGTTAACCCTTAAAATTAGCACTACATTTCTTGCTTTGTTGTAAGCCCCAGAGTATATCACGAGACTGAGCCATTTGCTTGTGTCGCGACCACCCTCGTTATGACGACGGCAGAATCTATTAAGGCCCGTTGTCAGTTGTTACAGGATGGAGGTACTATCTACGACCGGTTTTACCTCGCATTGCGGGCCTGCACGCTTCAAAGTAGCACCCCTTCAAAGATGAATGACGTCGGTACAGTCTAACGTTTGCGGTTGGCACAGCGGGCGGCAAGGACCAATTACCGAGAAGTGCATCGGTTGAAGTTTGAATCAGTGTGCCTGTTTAGGCCATGTGATACTTCGTTTCCCGAAGCCAAAGTGCGCTTCGAAAAGAGCCTCTGCGTTTAACGCCATAGTAGGGGAAAAGGAGAGAAATAAATGTCATAGAGCAACGCTCCGCCGAAGTAGCGCGATCAGAGCCACATGTTGGCGTATATTTTTCTATAAACAGGTTGGTTCCAGCTTTCGTAGAATTTATTACACAAACATTTTAACAAACAGCTTTTGCAAACAGTACAGAAAACAATCGTTGCAAAAAGGAAGGGAAATGAGATGCGTTACTGTCATAGTAGTGGGCATGGAGCCTGATGTAATTTCTCCCGCAAAAATGGCTACATCAGATAAAAATTCAGAGCTATTCAGTGCTTTAAAAAAACTGGCACCGCCGACAAAATTGGACGTGACTGATCTGATGCTACAAAAAAGTAATCACAAGGCTGCATACGCAGTTCAATGGAAAGAGGTCTTAACCATTATCAGTCCAAGGACATGGGATGCTCTGCCGTCCGTTTGTAGCTATCCACTTCATGGATTAACAAAATACGTGGCCACCTAAAATTTGTCCATGGGCCTGCGTAGCGAAGCTTTTTTTTACACTTTCTGCTTGTGTTGTGACCAGTGTTAAGGGGAATTCACACATTTGAAGATGTTGAATGAAGTATCAGATATAATAACAAGTATCACTAATAACTATCCGTTTACTTTGAAATGGAAAAGTGTGCGCTAGACAACACAATCTATATGCTTAGTAAATATGTTCCACACTCTGTCAATGCCTGATTACGTCACGGTCTCTTCTACAACATTGACTGGGAGTCAGCTGACGGTCGTCGTATCTCGAAAGCGTGCTCACCAACGTCATATATGAATGACTCGACAATTTGGCTCTTTGGTATTGAGCGTCGCACAACCAATGGAATGGCATGATATGAATGACGTTATATGAAGTCAGGGATGCCTGTGTGACGTCAAAATAGTCGCTCTAAAGAAGTCAGCACATCTTCGCGGACGTGAAGCTAAGAAACTATATGGGCTCAAGTCTGTGAGGGCTGTGACAAGGTTGTGAACTGCACTAAGGGATATTCAATATGACTGTTTGAGTTCCAAACCCCGTGCAAATGTGGAACACTGCTTTAAATACTGAAGCAACGTTTACTTCTCCTATTTCAGTTTCTTGGACAGAAAGGACGGTTTCATGGCCGCTGTCAAAATGGGTGTGACCATTTGCTACTGCCTAATTGGTGAGCATTGCCCTTTGTCAGAAGCCACCAGCCGGTCCAGATCTTACTGAACTCTGCTCTCATTTATTTGTTTGTCAGAAGTAGTAACGCAGTCACCATGCTGAAGGCACCTTCAATCTCATAACTACCACTGTTCGCAATCACTGCACAATGACGGAATTCACATTGTGCGACGAACATGTACCATCACCGACATCAGGTTTTTGAAGACGTTTGCCAGTCTCCAATTCTCTGCCTTCAAAGCGAGCATGCGCACCGCCAACATTGGACTTCACCGTGATCTTCAAAGCGAGCGTGCGCACCGCCAACATTGGACTTCACCGCGACCTTCAAAGCGAGCGTGCGCACCGCCAACATTGCACTTCACCGTGATGCATTTGGTGGTCCCATGACATATGCCCCGCACGACGAACAGAACTCCGGCATGCAGATGCTGATGATTTTTCTCTCCCACGCGCAGGCATGGCTCTCATCAGCATGTGCATCCAGATGATGCAGGAGCAGATCACCACCAAGGTGCGCTGGGCCGGCCTCGAACTGGGCCTGATTCAGTCGGAGGAGGACCAGCGGAGGGTCGTGCGGATGCGCAGGACCAAGCGCGGGGCCGTTCCAGAGACTGACTACCTGGCCGACGATAGCCTGTCCCGTCCCGTCACCAGCGAGAAAAGGCGAAGGCGACGCAAGAAGCGCAGGGAGGCGGAGGCGCTCGGCGACCTAGAGGGAGGGCGTGGGCACGAATCCCAGCAGCCTCCGCCGCAGGCGCCGATGCCAGCACCACCTCGGGCACCTGTCAGCGACGACAGCAGTGATGACATCTTTAACCTGGCCTGAGGTCTCCTGTAGGGGAGGCGTGGTGTCAGAGAAGGGAGCGAGGTGATGAGCGCCCCCTAGTGGAATGTTTAAATTTGTTAACAGTTGTTCCGGACACCTCAAATTCAATAATTGTGTAAAAGTCAGTAAGATGCCACTTGGCTCATCTTATCACTACCTTGCAGTCCTCGGATTCTGAAAGCAGTTTTGACGATATTTGTGCCTTAAGTTGCTTTTGCATTGGCTAGGACTGTGATATGAAGCAATCGCCTCGCACGAGCCAAGCTAGCTACGAAGGGCGATGACAGCACGGACGCCTGGTTTCACTATGAACCCTCTGTGTCTTAGCCGTTGCCCAGCTGTTGTTATACTTGGCTGTAGTCCACACGTCATTTTCAACGGAAGTATCTGCGACGTGAATGACCCATGCATGAACTTGGCCTTGACCCTGGCAATGATCCTGTTGAACTTGGCCTTGACCCTGGCGATGATCCTGTTGACTTCGATTGCATACGTGTTCCCTCGTTTGAACCTATGCGCCGCTTTTCCGTTGATCGTCTGTGATGTTTTGACTAACGCTTGCACCCAGCCCGCCGGGCTGGGTGCGGGTTTAGCCCTGACCCCGTGACCTTGGCAACTGAAATTCACGGCCAAGATCACGCGGTTACCCAGCATTAGTGGCTTCGGCGATGAGTCAAGTCCACACCCCAGGGAAGTGCAGGTATTCTCGCGTCTGGGGATGTCAAATGTACACGTGCCAAATGGGTTCCGACACCTCCGTTACACGAGACCTTCTTCTTCTCTTGTGTGACGATGGTGCTTCGTTGAACCCTCTGCAGTCCCCTGGGGTAGGTTCTGTCTCCGCTTGCTATAGCCAGTGATTGCTTGTTCGCGTGCGGTATCGGCTGCGATGCCATTTACTTGTGTGATAAAAATAAACCGAGATGGTCTAGGATATTAGTGTGGTCATTATCACAGGTTGGTACATGCAAGAGGATTAGAGTTCTTCATGGATTCAATGTTTAGGATCCGGTCCAATCAAGTTCGGCTAGTCCAGATCCAATCCGCCTGCCAATTCACTTTTCCCAGATTTCTCAATCCAACCCGATTCGATCGGACTTACCACAAACAAATTATCAGAAAGAAAAATCAACCAGACAAAAAAGGTCATGTCATCATATCACAGCGGCGAAAACCACCTCTGGTTTCAATGAACATGAGCACATTAACTATGTCATATTCCAGGTTAGGCGCAACAACCCACACACGCCACTCGGCAGTTTCAACGGCACCCATTTCACAAGCGCGGGACAACGCTCATTTGGTATGTTTTCCCAATGACTAAAACGGCCGTCTTACCTCATATGCGACACCTTAGGTGTGCATCCGTTCTCGGACACACCAGCTGACAAAACGGCCTCAACCACGACCATTATCTCCAGCTAGATTTCCGGTCACGTCAAAACTGCCAGTAACGCGCCCGACTGGTCCCTTGAAGGCGCCAGCAGTTCTCAATCATACGGGAAAAGGAAACAGTTGCGTCAGTTTTGAAGCCCATTATAGATATCACAAAAACTACCGAATCTCCCTTATTTTGCCTGTGATGAAAAAACGGAAACTTTGTTTGCAATTGTGCATCGCATGGCGCAACGACACATTTGAGCAGTTAAAAATGTTGTTTTTCCAGCACGGGTGGATTTTGCCCGTCATCCAACATCTGCCATAACCGCTGGTGGTTTGACATCTTATAAACATGCGAGCCACTTGCCAGCAAAGACGCGGGCAATCCCACAAGCCACTCCAAATCTTACCAAATTTTCAGTTGTGGTGTGAATGGAAGGTCTTAAGTGGCATGTAAGGCCATGTTGATTTCATGGCTTTTTGTACACTGTCTTGAACCTTCTAAATCATAACAGGAGAATCACTGGTATGCAAATGCATTGTTGGTGTGCACTTTGTACAGGGCTTATCAAGTGGGAGTGGAATAGATAGGACGCAAATAAATACGCAAATAAATACTTACCTAATGCCAAAGGCTTAGGCCGGATGTAAAGTGCATCGCATGGATCGCACTCCATCTAATTCACGTCAAACAGCTAACTGCTGAATGAGTAGGCTACCTTTGGTCCCTGACTGGAGAGGCCAATATGTTTGTTCTTTGAGAGACATTAATGGGGGGTGGGGGGGGGGGGATGGTAGAAAACTATCTGTGAGGGTACAACAATCTTTGTTTTGGCAGATACCAGAAAATGGAGTAGCTGAAGCGGCATGAAGAAGCAGCAGCAAGCAGCAAGCAGCACTTCAATTGAAGCTGGTGTTAAACTCATGAACTTGGCCAATGATTATGTGAACAGAAACTGTGGTGTTGACATGGAGTTCATTTTTTATACTTCCCTGACATGAGATGGATTTCAAAATTCGGTAGCCTGCGCTCTGCCAACAAAGCATGCCCTTGCCCAGTATTTCAAATCTGAAATGTAATGTCATCCACTGGGGCTCAATGGGATTGGTGACGAGATCAGGAGGTATGGCAGCTATCCTATGAAAAGACAGATTATTTGGTTATCAGTCATCTTAGTTGGCCTGGAAGGAATGACGGATCTAGTTTTTCATAGCAGCATATATATATATATATATATATATATATATATATATATATATATATATATATATGTATATATATATGTGTGTGTGTGTGTGTGTGCTTGTTTATATATATATATGTATATATATATATATATATATATATATATATACATGTGTGTGTGTGTGTGTGTGTGTGTGTGTGTGCTTGTGTTTGTGTGCATGTATATGTTGTGTGTCACTCGTTGGTATTTAGTTGTCAATGTTATCTGTTTATCAAAAAATTTGTTTGTGGAATATGTGGCTGAGTTACGTTACATGTGACCTGTTTGTGCATTCCTTCGAATTAAAACTACCGCATTTTCTCGGAGTTGATATATTCTTGCAGCATTTCAGGGACTTTTTAAGATATTTGATGCTTATATCCGTTGGATTGATATTCCACTCGTTCAATCCGTGTGAGCGGGCAGATCTGAAGATCCGTTTCGGTACTAATTTAGGATTTGGTGGAAACTTCTGTTCCTGTCCAATGCGGCTCGCAGATTGACCCAATCCGCAAAGAGCTCCGAAAATAATGTTTCAATGATCGACTAAAATTCAGTCGCACAAAACGAAACTATGGGCTTCTGTGTGTGTGAAGTTTATGAGAGGCACGTTTTGGGGTCAGTTGGAAAGAAGTGGAAGCTTATGAGCGTTCAGACATTGTCTTATACATTTGGTTTGCCTACGAATAATGTTTTCACTTTTGCACAACGCGGCAGCTGATCACTATGCACAGTATGGCAGGTTACTGACATGCGAGCGCCGCTCGTCAGCATGTGCGAGCCAGCGCCATTTTTGACAGCAGTAGCACTAGCACATTTGTGACGAAAGCAATGGCATTTTAGGTAGCTTTACGAATATATCAAGTCACCATATCCTCATCGCATTGAATGAATGTTTCACATGAATCTGGAAAGCACGGTGGGCGTCCTCACAGTGGGCTTGTATCGATGCAAGAGACAGTCAGTAGTGGTTTAATGATAGCGCTTCAGCGACAGGGACAGGGGATTCATATGACGCTTGTGGTATTTCGATGCATGTCGCACAAAATGGGATTGTCGAACAAACTCAGGCACGCATTTCTGCCTGACGTGATGGAGTATCCCAACCGCCAACTTGAGCTCCATGAGCATATATTTGACAGGCTGTAAGCCCGCAAGCAGAAGAACCAATGCTTCGTAAACAGGCAGAGCCTTGGGTACTAAAGTAATCTAAATTTTGCCCGCAAATGCCTTCATTTAACGTACCTGAGATGATAAGATGTTACCATTCACCGCATGAAGCAGTTTGTCCAGTGCCGGAAGAGCAAGAGGTGTTGGACGGCCGGTAAACAGGGTAAATCAGCATGCATGTTTAAGGTAGCACAAAAGTGTGTTAAACGCAAATTCAATGAAACAGTGGGGGTTCGGTTAGAATTGCTGCTCCCCACCATGTTGAAACGGGGGGGGGGGGGGTTCATGGCCCGCTTGGACCCACTGACCCCACGCCCACGTCTTGACCCTCTGTGACATGCCTAAGAAACAGCGTGTGGATGTGACAACTAGGCAGGTATCTAACTGGCCGGCGTATTCACGATGCTGTTTTTTCGCAACGGACTTCTCTGTGGCTGCAAGATTGAGGGCCTGCGGTAGAAGCCAGGAAGGGCCATGGATGTCATGGCTGGATTGTTCTACAGGTGTATGTTGATGCCAAACTAAGAAAACCTTTTCAGTAGATTTTGGATAGCCACTCAACCATGGCTATCACTGCTCATATCGTTGTGCCGTCTTATGCATGGACGAAATCGCGTCTCTGAGATTCGGGAGAATCAGGATTGGAGGCGATAAGTGGAATCTGAGGAGGGTGAAAAACTGACTGTAACAAGAATTTTTCTCCCCGATTAATAGCCAGCTCCAATAGAAAGCTGGGTAAAAAATCAAGGGCTGCTACGCCTTGCGACAACTATGTTTTTGAATGTTTGAATACCAAACCTGTCGTAAATTTCATCATATTCGCTGCGGAGCCGGTTGCTGTGAACAAGCAGGTCCAGAACAAGCCAAGCACGTTTGAAAAATTTTACTCCATCACAGGTAAAATGCTTGGGATGGACCAGGTAATGCTTGTAGGCATTTAAAGTTTGAACAATTTCAAATTATTTGGGTCGCAAAGGGTCGGCTGTTGGTGTCGGGAGGTTTCTGGGGCGGGGTGCGAGCGCTGCGCTGCTGCCCGGTCGTCGCTGGATGTTTGTGCACCGTCGGCTACCTTAAAGGGGATGTTTCATATTTGACGACATTGAAACCAACATCAGATATGATGAAACAAGCCCACTTATAAATATTAGCATGCTTTTAAGTGGAAAAGACTGTTTTTAAACAGCACAACTCTCTGTTCAGCAAATGCGCTACTCAACATGTCATGCTTTGATTACGTTGTACCCCGAACAACATTGATTGAGAGCCAGTTGACTGCCGTTGCCACTGGAAATCTTGTTCACGGGCGCCAGATATAACCGCCTTGACAATTAGACTTGTTTTGGCCTTGATTACTGCATGGCTCACGGATTGGCAGAATGCGAATGACTTTATTGTAACGTCATGAATGCCAAGGCGACTGAATACTCTCCCGAAATACTCTTCCCAATTTTTCCGGCGTGTAGCTCAGAAGCTTAAGTGGCCTAGATCTTAAGAACAGCAGGACTGTGGACAACACCGAAAGGTCTTCAAGATGGATATTTCAGTTCAAAACTGCAATAAATGTCGAACACTCCCTTTGGCCACGACTCTGCACCTCCACATTTAAGCTAATCATGACTTTTAAACGGAACACAACCGAACCAGATGTATGGCTGGTACGACCCAAGTGGCAGGGACCCCACAAAACCGGCGAACAACATTGGCACGGGCCCGCTGGATAACAGGACTGGGAGCCCCACCCTGGCCTCCTTAACTACTCCCACAGACTTCATGCATTTGACACCCCGCCACGCTCACTCCAGGCAAACACATCTACTGGTGCCCACGTCACCCCACTCATTCTTGGCTCGCGCACGGATGGGATCACCACACCCCCTCCGCCTGTCCAGCACCTTGACGTTTTAATCGGCACGTCTGCGCAAGTCCTCGCGAGCGAAGTTAAATTTATGTCATGCCTTTTAAACACCCACCGAAACCACGTGCATGCCGTATTGAAAACATATTATGTTAGTTCATCAGCTTGGCACCGACGCAACTTTGGGCCAACGTCAGATGTTTGTGGCTGGACGACGAATCGTTCCCTCGCCTGCCCTCC